ATAAAGACAGTTCGAGGGTATATTTTCACCTACAGGTCTAATAATTTAGTAACACTTATTGAGCCTGCATTTGTATTAGATTTTGTTCTGTTTTAATACCACATTGCTTTAAATAGGGTCCATTTTGAATAGGGACCATAAAGTCTATTTTTCAGTTCTCTGCTTTCTTCTGTAAACCACAGGGCATGAAGATGCTCCATAAATGCCCTTCAATGAAGAACAGAGCCATAAAGATTATTTCTATCGGACGATGAGCATCTCCTGATTGAAATCTTCCTTCTCTCTGTTGACAATGGTGTCACCCCGAGGACTATAGTCACCCTTTGTCAGCCAATATCAGAGAATATGCTGTAGGGAAATCCCCACCTGCTCAGAAAGCTGCTGAGGCAAACCCTTAATATAAAGTGTCAGGAGTACATTCTAACTCTCCAGGTGCCAATCTCGCTGTTCATAAAGTTTGAAATGGGTGTTAATATTTTAACTTATCGCTTATAGGATCTTTCTGAGTCCCAGCCAGTCTTAATCAGCTGACACTGGGCGTCCAATGCTCCCTTGCATAACTTGCACTCCTTAGATTTTGGTGTATTAACATTCCTGAGTTACCAGAACCCTTATCCGCTCCAGGGGAGGTCTCCACACCTCTCAGTTGGGTGATGGAGGAACCCAGTTTGGGATTCAGGACCTTCCCTACCCCGTGGGTTGGAGGGAACAGGATTGTCTGCTTACTCGATTTTGCCTTACTGTTTGGGCTCCCACTCTGGGCTATTATGTTTGTTTGTTTTTTTGGGGGGGCTACAATTTGACCCATGGTTTCTCGAAATCCGTGTCTCTTACTAACAGCACATATTGTAGGACTGTAATGTATTTCCAGTGTGACCTCATAGCACTTTTGTTTTCCAGCAACTTCTTCATAGATGAAATATGTTTTGTGAATGGCTTGCTAGCGCAGGGTAGAGTATTTTCTATGTCTGTTGTGATTTAAAGTATTTTTTTTCTTTCATGAAAATCTTAAGATAATTCTTTAAGGGAGGGAGCATAGGAATGATTTATTTTCTTTAAGGAATTAAAGAAATTTCCAGACACTTTTTCTCTGAGATCTCCAGCTGTGAGCAATCAAAGCTCTGGCTGACTTCTCTGCGTCCTGATTTTATTTATATCTACGTGTGTGCGTTTGTGTGTGTACAGCTGAGTATCTGTTTCTTTCCCTCTATCCATCCATCCATCCGTTGCTAAACTTTCTCAGAGAACCAGAAAGGTGGGGAGCTGTGGCTGGCACTTTAGGCTCCACTTCCACAAACGGTCCTTCTGAAGCAAAGCCTCATTTTTCTGGTGATGAGCCTACAAGCAAATAAGCCAATATTATGTCAGACATAATCACCATCTCCTCCGCTCAGGGTGGATCCTGAGGAAAGGACTGTACAGAGTAGCAGACCCTTCCTCCTCGGCAAGCCCTTGGTCAGCGGAAGGGGCGGCGAGGGAAACCCCAGGAGAGAGCAGCTGCACCCAGGGTCCTTCCCTAAGGGGGTCTAAGGGCAACAGAGTTTGACAATTTCCATATTTCAATTTTGTTTACTGCATTTTATATTTTTATCCACTTAGCTCCTTTCTCCAAAAGCAAATAATCAGAGGAATTTAAGAAACTTACAAAGGGAAATGAAATTACAGAGAATCTTAATAAAAACACACTTGTATTTAACAGCTATATTTTTATTGTGATGAGTTAATATCATTGTTAATTGCATGTCGGTATTAAATAATTAAGAGGGCTTCAATTTAAGATTAACCCACAAATATGTAACAAGTTTTAAAACAGACCACAAAAATCACATCAAAGAATGGCTTTTTTTCTCATCTGAATGAGAAATGGCTTTTTAGTAATCTGAATTTTAGGATTGATATATCACTTAAAATTTTTTATTTCGATAAAGCTATTACATATATGAATAAATATCAACTTAAGCCAAGAAATAAACAGGTCTAAAAAACAGGACCAGCAACTGACTATTTTTTCAGGGCTTGTCTTAGTAAATACAGTATTGATCTTTCGCGTTTGGGACTCTGGCTCAATTCCACTCACCCCTCCTCGGTGAAATGGATTCACTGGCCTTGGCTTATTCTTAGCAAAGAGTAATCCACATAACAAAACCAGACGGCTCATCCTGGCCAATTTGGTCTTTTCTTTATGAGCACAGGTTCACACAAATCTTCCATGGAGACCCAAACAAACCATCTCATAAAAGCACAATTTGAAACCATCCGGCCTCAAACGTGTCTTCTCTCCTCGTTATTTTAATAAGCACTACCCCCGCTCCCAGTACTTCTCCAGAATTTTTTTAACCTAGAATTAGGTTGCTTTTCATCAACTCTGAGAAACTTTTCTTTCACACCCTAGGTATTGCTTTGTTTCTTTTGTTTTTAGGGTTTTTTTTTTCTTTCTGGCTTTCTGTTTTTATTCAGTTTGAGGTCAATGAATGTCATTAAAAAGGCAGGAGTGTGGTTAAGAGAGATGCTGAAGTGAGCAGCTCCTGCATTCATTACTATTCATTAGCAAATGCAGCACAACCTGACAACAACCCAGAGGGAAACTTCACAATCATCGCACCCTAAGAAAGAAATTCAGTGGTTTGTCTATTATCACTTGAATGTAGTTTTATCAGTGACTTAGTAAGCTACAAGTATTTACACAAGTTTAACAAGTTTGATCTGGAAAAAATTTCTGAAAAGAAAAAATATAGAAGTCATGAGATACAAAAAATCATGGAAGATGCCAGGCCATTTTTACTGGGAAATCCAAGAAAAGCCATATTTAGGAAAACCTTAGATAATTGCTTTAAGAGTCGAGGTGCCTGGTTCTCTCCATCCAAAGCCACAGTACGCACACGTGTGACAGGTGTCCCTCAGCGGGGAGGCGCACCTCTGCAGGTTGGCTTAGGTTACGAACGGTAGCCACGTCTTCTCAGCTTCCACCATTAGCCTCAATATTGTCTATACTGAGAATTTTTAATGATCGTCCATGAGAGTATGAATTACTTCCACAATTACAATCGTTACATTTTTCACGAAAGCTTTCTTAAGCTGTCACGGTTCCCCCTAGGTTCCCGCAAAGGTCACTTATGTCTTAAGAAATAATGTTTCTGTTTAGTGCATTTACTAAGAAAGCCCAGCTTAGAAAAATGCTCATCACTTACTACTACAAATACTAGATCAATCTTAAATAGATGTTTAAATAATGATATAGAGACTGTTCTTAAATAACAATTTTACTACCCTACTGGAAAATGGTGCTGATTGTCCTTAAATCCTATTTGCATTTTATACCAGCTGGAGTGCGCGTTTGTTCAGTTATATATGATCTATAATATGTACCCAGCCCCACACATACCCCAAAAAAGTACACACTTTCTCAGATTCCCAAATAAGTAACTTAAAAATCTGACTTGTAATAAGAGTTGGGGGTGGGGGGTGGGAGAGGAAAGTGGAAATCTCTTCCCTTTAATTCTGGTAAATGCTCCTAAATTTAAGAATCGTTTCCTGCTGAAGAGCCAGTTGAATGATTTAAATACTGGGTGTGATTTCTGGGCAATTATGTCACAATGTGGCACACAGTTTTATCTCTTTCCAGGCAGAATGTGCATCATCCCACCCACTCAATTCTCACTGGCAACAATGGTACTTTCTTTTTAAAACAGGTGTAGACTATACCCTGACATCTTAAATAACAAAGTGGGATTCCATTGAATGCAAATTTAACAGAGACAATGAAATGTCCAAGAGTGGCTGTCCCTATACTTTGTATTATATGAAGTGTGGTCAAAAGGTAATTTCCCACCACGTCTCACCTCTCCTTCCATCTCCACACCTCACGGAACATTCATATAGAAGAATGATAGGTTATTTAGTAGTAAAATCTACATACTAATCTACATATATTAACCAAAAATCTTTAGGAAAAAAAAAACCAGGACACTTTGCAGCAAAACAAAACGTGGTCACTAGTGTCATCTTTTAATACATTATGTCATAATAAATCAACATTTGAAATCATCTGAACCCAGAACGTGTGTTTTAGAAAGGCCAATGTAATTATTTTCACCATAAAAAAACATTCATTATTTTTTAAGCATTCCACTAAGTTTCAGAGATGAGGAACTTTTTAGCCTTATGATTTCTAGAAATTTAAATTTCACTCCTGTTAAAAAGTGGGTTCATTTCTTTCACCAATGGCCATCCACAACCCGGAAGACGGAGTCTGGAATTGGTTGCAATATATTTTCTTAAATTCATGGCCAAGTGTCATCTTTTAATACATTATGTCATAATAAATCAACATTTGAAATCATCTGAACCCAGAATGTGTGTTTTAGAAAGGCCAATGTAATTATTTTCACCATAAAAAAACATTCATTATTTTTTAAGCATTCCACTAAGTTTCAGAGATGAAGAACTTTTTAGCCTTATGATTTCTAGAAATTTAAATTTCACTCCTGTTAAAAAGTGGGTTCATTTCTTTCACCAATGGCCATCCACAACCCAGAAGACGGAGTCTGGAATTGGTTGCAATATATTTTCTTAAATTCATGGCCAGTGAAATATTTGAGAAATCAAATCAAGTTCTTATCAAATGGCATACTACACTTGTTTGTATGCATATACATTTGCTACGAAATATACAGTACAGATTATAAAATCCCTGTTTAGTTTATGGTATTTCTTCACTTTTTTTCCCACTGCCAAATTAACTTTATTGCTAAGCCTGTTTTTATCAAAATCTGCAACGGTCATTTAAGTTTTATGTACTTCTCAGCTTCACCTATAGAAAAAGTCAAGGTTTGTCAGTATTCCAAATAACAGATTTTCCAAAAGATATCATACATGAGACAAACATGGCATAAATCAGACAAAAACTTCTTATCACGAAAGACGACATGCAAACATAAAATCAGACATTGACCTTTGGGGATGTGACTTTACTCCTCTCTATAACCAGTAGCACGTCATTCCTAGAGTTCAGTATGATTAGTAGAAGATTCACACAGATCTGGAAAAAAAAATTAGATAACATCACAATCAAATTAAATACCAGCCCATTAAGTGAGTTACATTTTGCAAAAGGTACATTCTGGTGGAAGCATATTTTTTAAAACATTTATTACGGAAAATTCAAAATATACACAAAAGTAGAAAGAAGGGTATATCTACTCCCCTGTACCCACACCCAGCTTCAACTATGACCAATGCTCCTCTATTCCTGTCTTGTGTTCCAGTCTTTTTGGCCGGAATATTTTAAAGCAAGGCCAAGGTATTGTGTCATTTCACCCTTGGCTATGGGAGTATTTAAAGATCGCTCAGAGACATTTCATACCTTGTAAGGGGTACAGTACACTTGGCATTTAATCTAAGGACCAGACAAGCAACTAGCACTTTGGTACATACTACTTTTCCAATTGAAAGCAATTAATGCCAACTTTATTTAGAAGGTTATGGATTATTTGGGCTACATAATTTATTTAAAATATGCTAGCCATTGAAAGCAATTATTTTATATATTAAAATTTAACACCTCCATTAGTGTTAGGAAGTGTACACAAAAAAGGTAAAAAATGCTCTTACTGTAAATGTAAGCTAAACATTTCTAGATACTTGATTTTTTTCCCATATATTGCACTCAAAATGGTTATGTGGGAAATTTGTCAGTCATGAAGTTTTTAAGTGTTAAGATTTGACATCAGAACAGAAGGATGTACAGAGTATATTTATGCATTTATATGTTTACCCTCACACAGGCTATTTTACAAATACCTCTACGAATGCAAGAGTATTCATTTATCCAGAATCTACAGTGACAAGTTCCTCACCTAGAATGGAATATGCTGTATTTTTAATCATGACTCTATATTATATTCAGATCTTAATCATTTTGAATTCAAGACACCCAAATGACCATCTGGAGAAGTGTGGGTTATATGACACCAGATATTCCACCAGGAAAATCTAATAAACTTACTTTTACTGTTTGCCTAGAAAAAAAGGGATGATGTGAGGAATAACCTACCACTACTTTGTCTCATATTCAAGAAGAGTGTAAGTATTAACAGTTATTCTGCTTGTTGTATAAAACTGTTGGCATCCACGGATCCCTCTGTAGTCTTATAATCTTTCATTAAGATTTTTTTCATTCATCAGAAAGATGACACATAATGTTTATGAAAATCTCACTGATGTGTTATTTTTTAACCCAGACATAGTCACATTAAATTTGACATAAGGTATGTTTTCTGCATTTTTCCCCATTTATTTTTGTGCGTAGGGTGAATGCTATAACCTTAATGTTTTGAAGAGTCTGTGAATGCACCGTCATCTGCTCACATATAATTATTACAAATAAAGCGAAATGATCTACATTAAGTAGGAAAAATACAAAATTCATATATACACAAAGAGTATATAAGGTATAGATAGGGACTAAACTTCCAATCAAATCTCCAGTTCTAGAAATATCTGTTTTGTAAATAATTATTTGTCTTCCTAAAAGCAGTACGTGAACATTTTAACAGCTCTCAGTACATTGTCTTGCACATAGTATACGCTCAGTAAATAGTTATTGGTTTATGTACAGTTTCGTAACCTCCAATACACACGCACACGCACACATAGTCACATCTTTAAAACATCATTTAAACTGTGGAGATCATGTCATAGCAAAGCTGTTGTATAATAAAACAAGATAAAGTATTGCCTTTACAAAACAGAGCATAAATGCTGTGCTGTCGTAGGAAACTTACTGTACTTGTATTTTAAATTACATTTGAATGCATCTGAAGTTCTTCTATGATATGAAAGTCCCACCTTGTACGTCCCACCTTGTACACAGTGGTCTGAAACCATTCCAATATGTTAAAATGTATTGCTTCCTAGTGGCTGCAGATGCTCAGAGGAATTTTTATCATTGACGTGTTGTTTTAGCTTTTTCTGGCAATAATTTTTAAGTTCGAAAAAATTTTCCACCTTGTCATTGTGGGGTTAACTTACTTCAACAGCAGTTTTTTTAGGGGAAGTGATGTCTAGTCTCTTTTTAAAGTCAACTTACTCTCACTTTTAACTTATGAATGGTTTAGAACATCCATAAATATATTCCATGAAGAAACACAGCCTGGAAGGACTCCATCCCGTCCACCGTGCACAGCCATGGGGCAGTCTCTACTGTTGAGTGTTACCATTTCGCTCAGTGGTTCTGCTTAAAGTGGCAAGTACTTAATCAGTTTTTTAAAAAATCAAATGCTAATTAAGGATTACCTAATCATGTTTTATTTTATACTATCAATACTACACATGTTAGGTTTATTCTTCAAGCTTGTATTTTCTCAAGGTTCATGCTAGTTCTTATTTCCAATTATAAATATTCAGGGGGAATAAAGAGAGGTAGTTAATGTTATTGAAATTAAGTCAAACTGCTGAATCTTGGAGCAGAGTCTTTCCCCAGAATCTTACTATTTAGAAGTGACTACTGCCGTAAACAGTTGGTGAAACTTTTTCAAGTCCTCGTGGAACACTGGAATGAAGACTGATGTAGCAAATTATTTGCATTTTTCATATAGATGATTATGACAAGCCCAAACCCTTTATAGGGGAAAAATAGAAAAAAAATTCATATATTGTGCATCAAATTTTTGCTTATATCTTAATGAATACATACATCTCTGAATTGTTTGAAAACTTTAAAAACACTTTTTTTGGGAAAATTGTGGCCATGAACTTATGTGAACTTCACAGATTTCTACATTATATATCCAACGTCAAAGAAAAAAATCTCAGACTCCTAAACAATTCTGACTATATTATTTCACTGCATTCTTCTGCAAAGTCCCATTAAAGTTGGATTTTAAACAGAAAAAAACCCAATTATCTACTCAGAATAAGAAAACTATCTGTTCTGTTAATGGGGGATTTATGACCCTCTTGCTTAATAACTTTTAATGACATAAATATTTATCTACAAATGTGCAGTATTATTTTTATTTACTAAATATTAGTAAATATTTATCATACGAATGTGCAGTAACTATTATTTTGGCACTAAATTTCATACAGTGGATGCAGGTGTATTATACTTTGTCATAAACAATGGCTAAATGCTAAATGTCTCAAGCTTCCACATTGCTTACAAGTACTCCATTGCTTTAAATCATTGTCTTCATAGATGCCCATTCATTTTCTTCCCAAAGATACCAAAAAAGAATGCACAACTTGTACTGTATTCTCATAAATGTAATAAACAGTTTCGAAAGGATATGACTAGAATATGTATGTTCACACAAACGGGGGAAGGCCAGTGGTAATGGAATTCAACTTTATATGTAGTAAATAAAGTTCCGCTGTTTTTCTAGTTTTTGAGTGTGTGTGTAAAACTACGATTAAATAAATTTTTTACCCTCTGAGCCAGAAAAAAAAATATTTCAGAAGTATATACTCTAGAAAGAGAACCTAAAAAATTAAAAAAAAAAAAATCTAGCCCCCCCCCCCCCCCCCCACCAAAAAAAAAAAAAAAAAAAAAAATCTAGCCCCCCCCCCCAACCCAACAACAAAAAACAACTTGAAGAATTTCTTACAAAATAAAAATCCCACCTTCTGCTGGAAGGGCAAATACTCAAGTCATAAAACAAGGTTCTCCTTTCCTGGTCCAGGATGGAAAATCCAATTTCTAAAAGTTTTAAAAAAGCAAGTGCTTTGGATTGGTCTAATTCTGAGCAAGAGTGAACTCCTGAACGACTGGACATGAAGTATTTTGGAATTCATTTCAAATGTCAAGGAGAGGAGGTAGCAAGCGTGAGGCCCACGGCCCGGTGGCTTCTGCTTATCTGTGTCCTCTCACACGGGTCGTTTCTGGTGCAGGGGACCGGCTCCGGGGAGCAGTGAGGCTCGGCCTGCAGACACGACGCTGCAAGGCTGAGTGGGAGCCGTGCAGGGAGAGCGCGGAGCGAGCACATGTTACATCAGACACAGTACCTGATTTTTCAGTGCACAGCTTGTCAGCTAGATAGTGTGCCTCCTGGGCGATAAGTGAGAATATTTCATCTTCATACTCCTCTATTATAGTTTCACACTGTAGAAACATAACAACAACACATGTGTACAAGATGCAGGAAGAACCTTGTTAGGAAGGACTTAGCAACATCTTATTAGCTCAAAATATGAAATCATGGAACTAAGGTGGTCCATTTTTATGAGCCCTTTTGCTTTAATACATCATTGCACTGAATCAACCTTCTCCCCAGAATGTCCACTGAGTCATTAACTTCATTAAATGATCAGTTGTGCTAGAAGACGTGGGAGGATGAGGAAGGAACAGGGCTCTTTGTATTTGTTTCTCTCCCTTGAATTGGAATTCAAGTCATAGGAAGAAATGGGTCCCCCGTGTTAGGAGCTGAAAAGTCTCAGTGTTTTTATTATTATTACTTTTAAACATTTTAAAGAACGCAGCTCCTTCAAATGGTTGAGACAGTTTCCTTCAGACTTAACATAATAACTCGTTTTGTGGTTTGAAAGTGGGAGAACAATGAAGCCTTCTCAGCAATCAAAACAAATGCATCTTCAACTTCACTGTGCAGAACAAGCCTGGCAGTTGCTTGGGGACGTTTCTTTCACACCATTTAGAGATCCAGCCAAAATTTCACTTCACTTTCCAAAAAAAAAAAATCTGATATTTCAGAAAAGAAGGAGCTCACATTTGCCCGTGTTTGAAAATCTTAAATTCTCACTAGAGTACTCTTCTCCGTTAAAGAGCTACCAGACTACACTTTTAGGAACTGTGAAGTTTCTGAAGGGCATTCACTAGAGACTTGGAAATCATTTTCTGAGTTTATTAAGCAAGACTGTAAAAATTTGAAATGGCATTTCACATATTTAAATTCCACTATAATGTGTTTATTTAAGGCCTGTGAAGCACAAACACACTTCCTCTCTGCCGTTCCTGTTCCGCAGCACCCTGAATTATTGTCCTTACTTTCTAATTAAAGTGAAATCTTCAAAAGTCAGCGAAAGCCCGTATTTCAGGGTCTCAGTATGCCTGGCATTTCAGCCCAGGCATGAACTTAATACATTTTTTAAACAGGCCTGCCCATCACTTTGTCCGAATTCAACAGCATTAAGTAAAGTGAAATATATTGCAATATATTTGGCCAGACACATTCTAGCAAGCCAGAGGCCAGCAGTCGTGTAAAATAAACATTGTAGTAGAAGGACATTTGGCATTAGGCCAGCTATCGTACCTAAGCCTTTGTTTAACTTAGTTTGTGCTAATATTCGAATTAACTCAGGAAAAAACGCTCTCTCCTCTGCGCAGCCTCAGGGAAAAAAGAGACCACTGCATCACTGTTCCTCCATCACTGGCTATAAATATTTAAAAATGACACTCGTTTTCATCTGGATTTTAACCTAGAAACCACAGCCCTTGATTCCTCATGTGGAAACCAGTGAGACCGTCCTTGGCGACAGGACGGACTGAAACCACTCCTGAGTCCCCACATGAGCAAAGGGATTTGAGCAAAACAGTGAGCAGACAGTGTCTTAAAGCCACTGGGACTTGTGGACAGCACTTTCTGTAAAATGTCACTTGCACGTCTCCATCGATCATCACGAATACCACAGCCCCTCAGGTGTCTCAAAAGGGGATGACCAAATGCACGGTTAACCCGCAAGCAGCAGCAGGACAACAAAGTAAACAGATAACATTTCAATGTGCATTTTAATGTTCAAGGTCTGGAAACTCAACAGCAACGAGACAGTAGCAAACAACCAAAAAAGAATATGTTCATGGGTTCATCTGCCCAGAAGAGAGCTTACCGCGAATTTCAAAGGTCTGTAAGCGTCAGAATAAAAAAAGAATTTTTTAAATTCTTTGTATATTTTGTCTCCTTTCCTTGGAGCGAATCTCTTGAAAGTCCTCTCCTTAGTCACAGGGTCCTCTTCGAGCTTGTAGTCGTTCATTCGCTCACATACTTTATCCAAGAGGTCCGCTAGGAACGCTTCTGACTGGGCCAGGGGAACCTGTGAGAAGCACCGCGAGGAAACGTGTCTTAACGTTAATGCTGTCTCAAAGGCCTTCCAGTGAGTACACATGGAAACACACACAATCCCACCAGTGCAAATACGCATTAAGTTCCGAATGCAATATTTACACCATGATATTATTTACGTCACGTAAGGGGTTAGCTTAAATTCTAGCTTTAAAAAGTGCATGCATTTGAAAGTGGACAGAATAAACTTACATTCAAACTAGAAACTCTCCCTGTGCCTATACTCACTTTAACAAGTCTTTGAACTTGCAGAATAAAGCAAGAATCACAGGAAAGGGCTGTTATTAACTATGCACTTCTCGGGGAGAGAGAGAGAGAGAGAGAGTTGGGGGGGACAGAGGGAGGGAGGGGACTCCTGACTTGCTCCGAAACTCTCCTGCAGTCCAGGGAGAAGTCGGGGAGCCCAAAGTCTTGCACCCCCTGCCTCCGCTCTGGGCCGCCCGCCCACCCGCTGCAGCCGTGGGGTGCCCGGGGCTGGAGTGGGGGCGGGGCCGAGAGAGGACGAGGAGCTCACGGGAAGTCCCTGCTCCCCGGCGGGCTCCGCGGCAGCTCCCTGGGGAACAGCAGGCGCGCGTCCCCGGGCGCCCCGTCCCTCCGGAATCCGGCGAGGATTCAGCAGGACCCTTTGGCCACCACGTCCGCCCCGGGCGCGGGTCAAAGAGCACCCCTCGCCCTTGGTAACGGAGACAAAAACGTGCGGACCGTCTAGACGGGTCAAGGTGCAGCGGGCTGCGTCCCGCGCCTCCCTCCGGAAGGGGGCGTGGAGCCGCCAAGGGCGCCCGAGCGCGCCGCGGCCTCCGCGGGCTCCCGCCACCCTCCGCTGATCAAAGCAGGAGGCTCGCATGACAGCCCCGGTGAAAGGGCCCGCATGACAAATGAACTCGGTCTCTGCAGTGTCGCCATCTCCAGCCTCCATTGTCCCCTTTCAGACGCAGTATGAACCTTCCGGTGCCAGCGGCCGCGCTGCACTCACAGGCGCGCTCGGGCGCACAAAGGGTCCCCGCACCCCGCCGCCATCTGGCCGCGACTCTGGCCGGCCTGCGCGCGGAGGTGACAGGCGGCGGGGACGCGTCTGTGTGCTCCGAGTCCAGGCTCCACGGTGCACACCCCAGCACCAGCGCCGGCGCCCCCCGTTTCTGTAAGGAAGCAACTCTGTGGGGACGTTTAAAAGAGACACGGGAGGAGGAAAGTCAGAGAAATAAGGCCACTGGCTGAGCTTCACCTGCACCTGCCACGTGCACAGGTAACAGCATCCTTCCTTCCACTCCGAGCTGGAGCCGGTTGGAGTCTGAGCTGCTCTTAAGGACCACGCATTCACATGTGCAGTGCAATAGCTGGCCTGGAACGTCCCGGGACGTTGTCACTAAATTAGCGTCTTAAAAAACTCATTCATGAATATTTAAATTTTTGAAAATGTCTCCAGTCAAAGACAGCAACGTCAAGTGGCCCAAAGTGCACATTTCAAATACAAGTTGCATTTTATTTGTGACTTATTGTGACTTTCAAGCACTGTAAGTTGTAAAGATTTTGAAAAACAAGACATAGGTTAATAAGCAAAACTGAAAATCTGTTTTCTTAACTGACAGGAACAAAGGATTACGCTTGTACTGATCACTGAAAAAAGTTATAAAACTGAGGTAAATTCTTGAATTATGATTAATCAAGGCACATCATTAACAGACTGATTATGGGTTTTTATGTTGTTTTTTTTCTTCTGCGGTGCATGTGTCTTAAGTATATTTCTTCATCTGGTACATTCAAAATACAGACAGTTCCTGAATGTCAACAAAGCAGCATTTTACTTGCAAGTGAAGAGTAGACTCTTTCATTTAAAAAATCTAATTTTAATCAAGAAATTCATTCTGTCTCTCCCTCCTCCTCCCCCTCCCATCCCCATCGCAAAGCAAACAGGCTTGGTTCTGGGGGGGTGGG